AAGTTTGTACATCATTGCAAGTCTTGCTGCTTTTCTCCGATCTTCAAGGGTTTTCAATTCGAGTTGGGTAAGCATGTCACTAACAGATGATGTGTTGTGATATCTGTTAGAGACGTATCTTGCTGCTCTTATTTTTACCATTTCCAGCCGGTGTTTGTTGTTCTGCTGGAAAGGGTCCTATACTGGGCATGCATACTCCAAGGTTGGTCTAACTAGGGATGTGTATGCAGTTCCTTTTATAGTGGTGTTATTTATGTTGGAGGTTTCGTTTCAGAAATCAGATGGTCTTAATTGTTTGCTTTGTTACATATGTTTCTGATGTGTTCGTTCCATTTCAAGTCTGAACTGATGGTACAACCTAAATATTTAGCAGATTTTACTGATCGAAGGGCGTGGCCATGCAGTGTGTACTCTCTCAGAGGGGGGGCAAGGGGTTTAACTGTTATGTTGTTTTGGGGCAATTTAATTCTTTGTTATCTGTTATTCTGAAAATATATGTGCTGTTAGCTGTTATTGTCTTATTCTTTGTTAGTTGTTATTGGGCTATTAGTTTTTTTGTTATCTGTTATTGTGAGAATGTATTTGCTGTTAACTGTTATTGAAAATTGGAATGTTAGCATTTTGACAGCCAATCTTCAGTAGAAATTGAATTGGGATCTTTCCACTAGTAACATGGTGGTCCCGTATTAGGAGAAGGATTCAATTAACATATAGACATTTGAATAGATTTACAGTACACTAGTCATTTTTGGGGCCTTTTATGGCTTGCTGTTTGGTGTGAGCCAAGGCTATGTGTTGAAGACCGTACTTTGACCTATATTAATGGTTTACTTTTACAAATTGTGACTTGGATGGAGAGTTGTCTCATTGGCACTCATACCACATCTTCTTATATTTAATCACAGATCATCACATAAACATATTAATATTAGTTGGGTCCAGGACCATTACATTATCCTTTGTAATGAATTCCTTTTTCAATGAACATGTATTTAGAATTATCTTGATTTTTACGTATAGGGATAACGATCCTTGTTTCCCTGTATGTGCATATTAAATTCAAACAATTCTTTTAAAATATTACAAAAATTCGTAAGGGTTCCGCGGAACCCAGTACTAGTGTCTCGCCTTCTTTTGATGTTAGTCGCAGGCTCAACAAAATGGGTAAAAAGTTTTAAATAAATGGGGAATGTGTCCATGGGACACAGATGATGCCCCTGCTTGCATATCATATACAGTTATAAGGGGACATAACTGAAGAACAGTAAAAGTGACCCTACCCACATTTGTACTTGATCTGTGTTTTGTGAAAATAAGCATTGTGTACAAGTTTCATAGCATTTGGTTGAGGCAAACTAAAGTAAGAGAACGGAAATAAAAAATTCAGCAATTTTTTCGTTTGTAAAGGGGCATAACTTTAGAACGGTTACAGTGATGCCCCAAATATTCAAACTTGATCTGTATTTTGTGGTAATAAGCATTGTGTATAAGTTTCATAAAATTTGGTTGAGGCAAACTGAAGTTAGAGAACGGAAACCAACTTTGTGACGTACGGACGGACGTATGTACAGACGGACAAGGGTAAAACTTAATGCCCTCTCCGCTACGGCAGGGGCATACACATTTCCTCTAGATAAGGAAAACATATGGCCAGGGATACCTGATGAGGATGGCAATTAAGTCCTAGTTCCATACGACCAGTTAACTTAAACACTTTTATATAATAAGGAACACAGACTCAGCTCTGTGATTCTTTTCTATAAGAATACACTAACTATTTAAATTACAAGCATGTGTGAGCTTCTTTAAAAGTACAAAAATAAATGCTGAAAAAAGTATTCCATAACAAAAAAATATTATCATACATTGAGTAAACCAATTCTAGGTATATAACTCTAAAAACATGTTCATAGAAAATGGAATTCAGTACAAAGGATTATAATAAGATATATACTGGATTTGTCCTGGATCCGACTGATTTTAATCATTCATTTACTGTTATCTGTTTTTATCCCTTTTCAATTCCTTGTTATCAGTTATAAGCCAAATCAATTTGCTGTTTTGCTGTTATTGGAACCCCCCTTGTCCCTCCTCCTCTCACAATAGGTTTGTGTTTTCTTGAAATTGTTAGTACATTGCATTTATCGGGATGAAAGGCCATTTTCCATTTTGTTTCCCAGATTGACAGTTTGTTGAGGTCCTCTTGTAGGTTCTCACTGTCTGCGTCTGATGCTATGGTAAGATCTACTATGGTATCATCTGCAAAGAGTCCAACCCTTGAGCGAATACCTTCTGACATGTCGTTCACGTAGAAAAGGAACAAACTGGATCCGAGTACTGAACATTGTGGGACGCCTGATTCTACGTTGATTGTATCAGATTTTCCCCTTCTACAACTACCACTTGTATCCATTTGTTTGCTTTACCTCTGATGCCATAGTGATCCAGTTTGTGTGTTAGTAGACTGTTACTTACTTTATCGAATGCCTTTCAAAAATCCAAAATTAGGCAGTCTGTTTGTTTCCCTGCATCCATGTTTATGGTGATGTCATTGATGAAGTCGATCAGTTATGTTTCGCAGGATAGGCCTCTCCTGAATCTATGTTGTAGTGGGTAAAGTATTTTATGTTTGTCAGCTTGGGTCATTATGTGGCTTGTTACAATGTGCTCCATAATTTTGCAGCAAATGCAGGTAAGTGAGACTGGACGGTAGTTTATTGCGTCAAACCGTTTTCCCTTCTTGAATATCGGACTTACGTTTGCTCTTTTCCATATATCTGGTAAGTCACCTGTTTCATAGGACCGCCTGAAGATAGTTGTTAGTATTGACGCAATATCTGATGAAAGTTCTTTTAGTACCCTTGATGTTATAGTGTCTGGTCAAGCAGCCTTGTATGGGTTCAGATTTGATAATTTTGCTATTCCATTTCAGTGATGTTTAAGTCCTGTAATGAAGGGTAAAGTTCATTTGTCATGTTGCAACGGTCTTTAAATTCAGTGTCTGTAAAATTTAATGTATCCGAAAAAGCTGATTGAAACTGCTTATTTAAGATGTTTGCCTTTTTAACTGGGTCTGGGTGGAGTAGCCCATTTCTTCGCAAAGGTGGTATTTGATTTCCATCTGATCTTTTGTGTTTGCTGAATGTCCAGAAACGCTTCATACAGTTTGGTTTTTTGTCGTTATTTGGATCTGATGTTATAATGTCCTCTATATATTTCAAAAATGCATGTCTGATTTCTCACTGCACCAGTCTTTTTAGTTCCTTGTATTTTTTGTTATGCTTTGGATCAGCTGGTTTCTTTTTCTTGTTATGTTTGTCCCGTTTTCGAATTAGCCGTTTGATGTCTGATGTTATCCAAGGGTTGCCGTCTTTTGATCTGGCTGTTTTCAGTGGTATGTTAGTATTTACGGTATTTTCGAGTTTGTCCTGAAAATGGTCCCACATATCTTGCGTGCAACAATCTTGATGGTTCATCGTGGTTATTTCTTTATTTATTGATTTAAGATCTTCTTTGATGTTATCCCACTTTGCTTTTATGTAAAATGAAATTTTTCTTGGCTTTTGGGTTTATTTAGATGGAATGGTTTGTAATTCTGCATAAACTATGTCATGGTCAGATATGCCAGGTATTGTTTCAACCCTGATGAAGCAGTTCGGGTAGTTTGTAATTATGAGATCTAGAGTGTTTGATTCTCTTGTTGGTTCTTCTACCATTTGTTGTAGGCCGTGGTAATCTAGGATACCAGTGAACATATGGTGTATAATGGCATGCTGAGTGTTTGGTTTCAAATATTTGGTTTTCCAGTCCCAGCTTGGAAGGTAGAAGTCTCCAGCCATGATGATAAGTCCATTTTTTATATTGTTTGCTCTGGATAAGCTCTTCTCAGTTCTAGGTACCCATTTTCATTTTATGTTTTGCGGTTGTAGTATGCGCTCAAGTATACAGCTTTGTGTTCAATAAGCTCAAGTTTGCACCAAACAATTTCACAGTCTGTATGTATTTCAGGGACGGCAGTTGTAATATAAGTATCTTTTCGGAAAATGTTATATCCAGGAGGAAATATTTGACTGCCAGTGATCTTGTTGTCTACCCATGTTTCTGTACCAAAGATTATATCTGGGTTCATGCTGTCTATGGGTTATGTACCTGGCCTTGTTTACTTTTGATGGATTGAAAGTTAACGTTAAGTAATCTTAGAGGTGTTTCAGTTTTCTTTGAAGTTCTTCTAGTCTTATTTTTATCCAGAGTCGATGCATGTAAAGGTCTTATCTTATTTGAAGGCGTTGGACTGGCAAGAGAAGTGTCAGACAGAACGCTGAAATAACTTGATGTGCTAAGAATTATTGAGTAGCATAATGTTGAATAGTTCGGACAACCACACATCATACAGTCCCAAGCAAATGCACGGTCATTTGAAAACTCGTTGTATGATTTAGAGGTCATAGACTGGCATGAGACATGGTAACACTGATTGCACGTGTCACATACTATCGCTCTGTCGTTCCATGTAACTTGGTGGTCACATGTGCCACATGGATGCACCGTTGGTTCAGGTCCTGGGTTTAAATTAACGTCATTTGATGTTTTTATCAGTATTAATGCTAGTTGTGATCTCTGTCTGATGGTCCCGACTTTATCTAGACATTTGTTTCTAAATAGGTGGTAAGTATTTTGGGTAAGAATATTGCTTTCTACGTTCGGATTCGCATTTACGAGTACAGGGATGAATGTATCATTGTTGCTCGATATACTACTAATGTCTATCCGTTCTGATATGTAGGCAAGTATGATTATGTAAAGCAGTATGATCATTGTTTACAGTTTGTGTCTGAATGTTGTGATCTGAGTTACCTGTGTGTTACACCAACCAATTTTTTGAATGGTACTGAAAAAGAGTGCTGATGTTATTGCCAACCAGTATGAATTTATACCAATCCTAAAGTAACATATTTTGTTGGTAGACATCACAAGTGATAGATATTCTAAAAAATCGAAAGTAAAGTTATATAGATTAAAATTAAATTTTATTGGAATGGCTTCACACTAATTAACATAAATAAAACATAATATATAAATATATAGATAACAAGTTTACATTGCTTACAAATATTCTAGCTAATGATATCTAAAGTCAAAAGTAAAATTCTGCATTTAGCACCATTTGAAAATGGAAAATTTTAAAACTCTGAAATATTTCTTGTAGATGCAATATATATGAAAGTTTTAACTGATAAAGCTTGCACTATAGGCTCACAATAAAAATTGAATATATGTGTAATAACTGATTTTAAACAAGTACTTTACCTAAGTTATCTTTTGAGATCAAAAAATAATAAAATTAACCAAAATTTTTTGGGAGGTTTTGCATATATATATTTTTTTAAAGGGTAATACCTTGTAGAGTATTTTTTCAACAGCACTCACTTCTTATGGAAAGAAAGCTACTGTCAATGTTTAATATAACTTTTAAAGCATTATATTAAAATAACAAGATAAGATAAAAAAATCACAACAAAAGGCTTCACTGTATATTGTGGCAGGGACTAAAAACCTCGTAAATCAATCTTACAATTCAAAAGTGCTATTAAATATATGACATTCGAATCTTAAGAAGAAATAATGATTTCAAGCTTGTCCACCTTGTATATTTTATCATACTTATCCTAAAAAATAATGTACCAAATGAGTGAATTATAATTTCCTTGTTAATAATTAGATTAAATATTTCCAAGAGAATAATAGGCACTTGTACTGCAGCTACTTCGAATTTGTCATATTCATAAAAATATTGTGGAATAAATTGTCACACTGTTTAATGTAGTCTGGAATCATAGAGTAAATCAATTGTATAAACATGTTTGGTTTTTCAATCTTTTCTTTTCAAATAATTTTTTCATATATAAATTCTTTGTTACTATCTTCGAACTATTCCTTTCTCTCATCTTCCGTCTATCTGGATTCTCAACTGAAAAACAATAAAACTAATTTAGCATAAATGTGTAATTCAATTGTTTCCTATATCATCTAATTCATATTTGACATATTTAGTAGGACTTTATTGGAACTATGAAAAAATTAAACTGTAATGTTCACCAAAAGTGATTAATCTAAACTCTGACATGATTTTATAAAACCAATTTGCATATAATATCCAAATCAGAAACAAATATATTATCAAATTTAGCTGTAATGTCAACAAGACATACTTCTTTGTTGTCACATTGATATCATATATTGTGAAAGTTCCATCTTTTCATCTACAAATAAAACTTGTATCTACCCACTATTGATGATTCATTTTAAATCATTAACACCTCCATTTTGCTACCAGCAACACCATAATAAAATTTTAACAATCATTGGTGTAATGGCTTACAAGTTATTGCATGAGCCCAAACCCCTTCCCACCTGCCATACAACCCCAAATCATAAGAAAAACTCAGTTGAAAATCTGTGATTATGTGATGTGATAACCATGTCATCCTTTCTTTGGTCTCCCATAGGAAAAGGCTTCATGATTACCATGGAACCATTATCATGGTCTCACAAACGTAAGACTTTGTGATTAACAATTTAGCATGTAACCCTCATCATGGTCTCACAAAGGAAAAGGCTTTGTGAATATAATGTGACTCTTATCATGGTATCACATAGGAAATGTTCTCATGATTACCAGGTAAACCTTTTCATTGTCTCACATAGGATATGGCCTTGGGATTACCATGTCACCCTTATCATTGTGTCACATAGGAAATGGCCTTGTGATAAACCATGTCACCCTTATCATGGTCTCAAATAGGAAATGGCCTTGTGATTTATACCATGTCACCCTTATCATGGTCTCAAATAGGAAATGGCCTTGTGAATATAATGTAACTCTTATCATGGTATCACATAGGAAATGTTCTCATGATTACCATGTCACCCTTATCATTGTCCCACATAGGAAATGGCCTTGTGTTTACCATGTCACCCTTATCATGGTCTCAAATAGGAAATGGCCTTGTGATAAACCATGTCACCCTTATCATGGTCTCAAATAGGAAATGGCCTTGTGATTTATACCATGTCACCCTTATCATGGTCTCAAATAGGAAATGACCTTGTGATTACCATGTCACCCTTATCATGGTCTCAAATAGGAAATGGCCTTGTGATTACCATGTCACCCTTATCATGGTCTCAAATAGGAAATGGCCTTGTGATTTATACCATGTCACCCTTATCATGGTCTCAAATAGGAAATGACCTTGTGATTACCATGTCACCCTTATCATGGTCTCAAATAGGAAATGGCCTTGTGATTACCATGTCACCCTTATCATGGTCTCAAATAGGAAATGGCCTTGTGATTACCATGTCACCCTTATCATGGTCTCAAACAGGAAATGACCTTGTGATTACCATGTAACCCTTATCATGGTCTCAAATAGGAAATGGCCTTGTGATTACCATGTCACCCTTATTATGGTCTTAAATAGGAAATGACCTTGTGATTTCCATGTAACCCTTATCATGGTCTCAAATAGGAAATAGCCTTGTGATTACCATGTAACCCTTATCATAGTCTCACATAGGAAATAGGCTCTATAACAATGAGTCAAAAACTGACATACATGAATGCTAATGTAAGGGTAAACAACAAGTGTAATACACAGAAAATGTCAATCTTAAGTCCTATCCTAAAGAGGACCTAATCAGTTGGTGACAACAATGACATCACAAAGACAACAATTATGTCTTGCCTATTGCAACATTCATCACATCAGAAACAAAATAGTATCCTGCAAATAATAAGTATATGTATATATAAGCGCTGGACACAGTGCAAGCGTTGTTGTCTCGATATCCCAATAGCACAAGTTCGAATCCGGCGAGGAAAGAACAAAAATTTGCATCAGCAAATTTGCAGATTTAAGATTGTTGTGCTATTATTTAGAGTAATTATATATATTGTATATACATATACAGTGTACAATTAATCATAAGTATTTAATATATGACTACAAATAAACTCACTTTCTCCATTTCAAGTTCTATAGATGACAGAGTGTCCTGCACCATATTTAATTTGTTTTTATCTTTTGTTCTCTCCATTTCTATATCATCAATTTCTCTATCATAACCTTTTTTATGACTTTCTAGTTCTACTAATTTTTCTTTTAAGCTCTGAATTTTGTCTTTCACTTTTTTCTCCTCTCTTTCGATGTTTTGTGTTTGTTGCCTCTGCTGTTCAATTTTATTTGCTAATTTACTCATGTGACTTTGAATTTCCCTAGATTCAATGCGAAGAACTTCTTGTCTGGTCTGAAGATTTTCATACTCGTCAAGATGCTGTTGTTTTGTTTTGGCTGCAAGAAGAATGTGGAATTACCTTAAATATTTTCAAAGTAAATAACAGAACTGTAAGTCAGCAATACCACAGACTTCACTCCCCTCATACAAAGGTGTAAGATCTTTAAGTGACCTGTTGGCATAGCTTTCTTATTAATTTAAGGTACTATTATTTTCTGTAATGATTGTAGACAGAAATATGTATTATGTAATTTTTTTTCTTAGTAGCTATGACCTTGACCGTAGATGAAGTGCCCTCTAAATCAATAGGGATCTGCCTCTCATTAAATGTGACGATCTTTCCAAGTATGCTGCAATAAAAAATGTATAGTATTTGATTGGCATGTGGAAACCACTTTTCTGCACAAATATTGGTCGATTTCTAGTAACTTTGACCTTTGACACTGTGACCTTTATTAGATATGACTATATTTACAAATGTAATTTTTGAAATTCAATATAAAGTACAGTATCTAAGTTTGCACTAGGAAACTAAAATGACTGACTGACTTACAGACAGGTCAAAACTATTAACCCTACTTCTTTGTACTGCAGGCATAACAAATTCTAAGTGTAACATACAGACTGTGTGTGGGGTCTCATTGGGGGGGGGGGGGAGGGGGGGTCTGATCCTGGATCCCGCTTATTGTTTTGTCAGAATCCTGTATCCTGCTCATTGCAATAATAGCGCTTGTAATTTCATGTGTCCCGCCCGACTTCATTTCCCATTTTCGCGCAAAATAATTTGACTTTCATGTGTCACGCTTACAAAAAAATCGCCCAATTGTGCATCACGCTTAAACCCCAATGAGACCCATTGTGTGGGGCAAATGATAGTGCTTAAAAAATGACTTTTTTCCTATTGCATTTTAAATAAATCTTCATTTGAACTTACAAATTAATAAATACTATTCAGTTAATTAACTGGGGTGAAAACAATGCTCTAAAGACAAGCCAAATTTAAAAAATTAAATTATAATCTAACATGTTATTAACCCAATACCCTATGCTGGAAGAGTGCTGCACTTCATGCATTGCATAATTTCTTCACCTATCAAACATATCCTCATTTGCCAATATGTCATTTCACTTTTAACTTACATACTTTTCAATTTGTATTTATCCTGAGTTTGCAAGAAATGTTTTCAACAGTAAGTCAGACAAACATCAATTAACATACAATCAGACTCATTCATCAATTTCTTTGATTTGTTTTGTGTCATTATAATTTCCTTTTTCAAATTTGGCTTGTCTTTAGAGGATTGTTTGCACCTCAGTTAATTGAATAGCACTTATAAATTTGTAAGTTCAAATGAATATTTTTTTTAAAATGCAATATAAACAAAATTTAGAAAATCTATAAAAACCTAAATTTACTATTTTCATTTAAGAATTGAATGCTTCTTTTTGTAAATTTGTTGGGGTGTAAAAGCGTTGACCAAAGTACATTTTGTATGAAGTGCAGAAGCATTCAATACTTATAATTACATTTTTTTGCTAGGATCATGAAAACACGTTTTCTATCAAGTTTTTCTTTTATTTACCTGTGCACTTGATTGTGGAAGCTCGTGTCATCATGAATGTTAGGTTAATTTCAGAATGACGCGAGATTGCTGTTAGCCAATCAAAATAACGTATTATAATGAAACATACATGTAATGTAATTATATAACTTTTATTGATATATTGGATCTGGTTGTCAAACTGGTAAACAATGGTAATGAATAAAATCTTAAAATTTGACTATCACTTATACAAACAAGTTAATGAGAAACAAAAATTGTGAAAGGTTGTCCAAACTAATCTTAGTCTTGTGGTCTACAGAATGATGTAACATTTTAATAGAGCTTCAAGGACTTTTCTCTTATAAGTAAAAAAGAATCCTCAATATTTTCAATTGCTTTGTAAACAAACAATGGAATGGAATAAGTTAAGTTAAGTTTTTTTACCCAACAAGAAATATAATTGGGAAAACTTTTAAGTGAAAATGGTCATAGCACATTATGTATTGCCCTTTCATCTAAGTATACTATTATATGATGGCTATGCAAAGTGTGGTATGTTAGGTTTATGGCTATTGTATTATTCTGCATATCCTATAAACCCACTATGGCAATCACTTTCATGCTTCATAGTATTATGTAACTTATAAGTTTGAATATATACTTTTAAACATCTTATTTCTTTCCGGTATTCTACCTTTTTCTCTGTAGTTATCAGGTGAATATGTCTGTCGCTGTCGATTTTCTGCAGTACTCTCCCTTGATTTATGGTGATTCTGTATAATTTGTAACAACATTATATTACATGTCTTAGATAAGATTGTACAAGCACACTGTGGACAGAGTGATCTCCCTTGACAGCATGACTGACACATGCTATGAGCACATGGTGTTAAGATCATTGGCACATGTTCTGATGACATCTATAAAAAAAATGCACAAAAACCTGATTACTTATCGTGCATTTTAAAAAGTTCTCATTATACTGCCAAAATACAAAACAAATATCATTTAAAAGGTGAAAAACAATCAGAGTTGACAGCCATATGATTAAACGACATTCTCAAATCTTATCAAATTACTTATACATGTATATTAATATATAATTCAAAGACTGAAACTAAAATAATCAAACATCTAATATAAGTTTTATTGTAGTATGACAACTTGTATTCAAAATTCATTTTTATTTTCAGTGACATGCAAGTTTAACAATGTTTAATATCAAACCTAAAAATGAGTTTTGTAGATATCAATAGAAATAGCTTAAATGATTTTAAGCACAAAAATCAATTACCAATTTTTCCTTCGAAAATCCGGTTAATAAAAAAGCAGTCATTTTCATTGACTTACTAAACATAAAAAATTTAACTGCAGAAAATACAAAAATTTTCATTACAATATGTTTCTTATAACAAAAGAAGAGAAAATATCAAAGGGGACAATAAAAAACCAAATTTCAAAAGACAGACAACACTTTGGAAGAAAGAACAAAAAATAAAGGACAAACAAATATCAACAAAATATTGAACAGAAAAATAGAGCAAACAACCCAATTTAAAGCAAAGCTAACATGTAAGTGATATATGGAAGGGAAAGTAGGTCCTGATGATGATGGGAGTTTTTAACGACCTTGACTGGCTATACAGCCCTCGCACGGTCGGTAGTAGGTCCTGTTCCATTTGTAAACCTTATCTACATGCTCCTCTTTTTTTTTCTTGTAGAGAGCACAAGATATGAAGCTATAGAATTTACATTTCACTAGGGAGCTGACCTTGCATTAACAAAAACAGATCGTCTTGTTCACTTTTAACATAAAAAGCAACCTTGTCAAGAAGAGAAAGGTGCAATATTTAATTCAGAAAATTTCTTGAAAAATGGCCCCTCTTACTAAAGAGATGAAAGCAGAACTCAGGCATGTTATGTAACTCTTTAGTATTAACATAATATACTCAGGCATATTATGCAACTCATTAGTATTAACATAATATACTCAGGCATGTTATGCAACTCTTTAGTATTAACATAATATACCCAGGCATATTATGCAACTCAGGCATTATTAACTCATTAGTATTAACATAATATACTCAGGCATGTTATGTAACTCTTTAGTATTAACATAATATACTCAGGCATGTTATGTAACTCATTAGTATTAACATAATATACTCAGGCATGTTATGTAACTCATTAGTATTAACATAATATACTCAGGCATGTTATGTAACTCTTTAGTGTTAACATAATATACTCAGGCATGTTATGTAACTCATTAGTATTAACACAGTCTGGTCAAATGTGATATTACCTAGTTTATAATGAGACCTACCATTAATGACCCACATTCTACACAGAAGTGACTGAATTGGTCAAATGTGATATTACCTAGTTTATAATGAGACCAGCTACCATTAATGTCCCACATTCTACACAGAAGTGACTGGATTGGTCAAATGTGATATTGCCTAGTTTATAATGAGACCTACCATTAATGTCCCACATTCTACACAGAAGTGACTGGATATCAAATCATTCTGTTCCTGATCTCGTTTTGTTCTATCACAACTCTCTTTGGATTTTTTGTATCCTGAAAGATTATCGGACAATTTACTGTGAGATTTGTAAGGAATGTCTAGTTCATTTTTTACACGAGCAACAATTTTGTTAGCCATATCATCAAAATCTTGATGTGACATGATACTCCTTGCAGCATCTATTCCATGGTTGCTTTGTCCATGAATCCTGCGATGACTACTGTAATCGACTAAAGGATCCCATTCTGGATCTGGAGTAGCATATCCTGGCGCCCTGGAACTGGAGATTTTTAAAACATCAGGTTCATCAGGTATTTTATTTTTATTTTCCATTAACTTTTCAGCATTTTCTCTGGTCTCCATCCATGATTGAAATCTATCTTTTGACGGAATAGTTGTTGTCTTTTCCACGCTGTATTCAGTATTATATTTGTTTCTTTTACTGCTGTCTGACAATGTTGAATTTGTAGTTTTATCTGGACAAGATGATGTAGACGTTTTTGTTTCTGGATTGACTTAAAAAAGAAATAGAGTGAAGTTCAAGACTTTGAAATTAGAATGCAGACAAACTTGAATTTACAATTAAAAAATGTTTTGTCAGATAAAATTATCCCAAATAAACTGCATGAAGTTTAAGATTAAACATGTAAGAGAGCAATTTGCATAATATATTAAATTTACCTGTAAAAAATGGTCAGCTTAATGTGTCATGGTACATTATCAAGCTGGTACAATTTGAAGTGCAAATTCCTTAAAGAAACAATAAAAACTAAACTTGAAATACAAACATGCAAAAGATTGATTGATTGATTAGTTGGTGTTTAACGCCACTTTCAACACTATTGTGCTATTTCGTGGCTGTCAGTTTTTATTGGTGGAGGAAGCTGGAGTGGCTGGAGAGAACCACTGACCTTCGGTAGGAAAACTGACTATCCTAGCTATATATATAGTCAATTAAGATTTGAGTTGAGTGCACCTGCCCTGTGTGGGATTCGAACTCACAACCTCAGTGTTGACAGGCTAGTGATAAGTAGTTTGACTACGTAGACCACTCGGCCACTGAAGCCCCAACATGCAAAAGTTGAAATACATAGATACAGAGAAAAAATGCCTAAAAACCTGTTGTATGCTTCTTTTTATGATCATTTCTTTGCTTTAACCAGTTTTGTTGTCTTTTCTGTATTTCTTGTACCTGTTAAAAAATATTTTATCAATCATTTTGCAAGCATATAATTAAACCATGTTCACCTTATGTCTCTTGCTCACATTTCTAATTATTTTCAGTATCACTTCAAAAATACAAACGCATTACATAATGAAAATGTTATACATGTATTTCATTGATGTATTTCACATATAGCTTATATTGTTTGACATTGTAGCTTCCTCTGATCATGGTTGTTAATGTCTTGACACTGTCTATATCAATTCATTGTTTATGAGTGTGTTAATGTATAACATTGTGAAGTTATATAGCAAATGTTGTGATCTAAAACTGATTTTATTTGTATATACATGTATATAGCACAAGTCTGAAAAGTGTCCTACAAGAATGTGAAACAAGAATGTGTCCATATATATAGTACATGGATGCCCCACTCGCACTATCATTTTCTATGTTCAGTGGACCGTGAAATTGGGGTCAAAACTCTAATTTGGCATTAAAATTAGAAAGAGCATATCATAGGGAACATGTGTACTAAGTTTCAAGTTGATTGGGAGCATATCATAGGGAACATGTGTACTAAGTTTCAAGTTGATTGGACTTCAACTTCATCAAAAACTACCTTGACCAAAAACTTTAACCTGAAGCCGTTCAGATGGACAGATTAATGGATGAACGAACGGACGCACAGACCGAAAAACATAATGCCCTTAGGTGTGGCATAAAAATGGATCAGACTTGAATGGCAGAGATGCAATATACATGTACTTATGATTATATATACATTTTTGTATTTGTAAATTGAAATGTGGTATAAATGGTTAAATATAATACTATCATGACTATTATAGTATTTGATATGCTTCTATTATCTTCATTTCTACAAACTGGCAAATCACATCAAATAGGTATAGTCAAACTTGCTGTAAAGGTCACATCTATTTAGTGAAAATATGTCCTGTCAGGTCACACTCCTTTTTCTAGTTCAAGTACTAGACAACTGTACATGTATACCTAACAACCAAAATTATTTTCATCTACCTGTGTTTAAAGTTATTGCAAATGGCTGATATATTTGTTCGAGCATATTGTTTTTCTTAAATTGTTTAACATTTCATACCGATATAACATGTTACTTTTATTACTCTTCCTTTAGTTTATTTATTTTGTATTTACATTGTATCATAGGTCAAATTTATTTGTTCAGTGTATGTTCACTGGTGTTAATATGTCATTTGATTGAGTTAAGCTATTTCAGTTGATATTTTATTGTGTGTCTTTCTATGTTGTGATGTTACACTATTGTTTCAGAAAAAAGGTGAAGGTTTGGTACCATTAAAACGTTTCAACCCGCTGCATTTGTTTGCACCTGTCCTAAGTCAGGAATCTGATGTTCAGTAGTTATAGTTTGTTGATGTTGTTCATAAGTGTTTCTCGTTTCTCGTTTTTTATATAGATTAGACCGTTGGTTTTCCCATTTGAATGGTTTTACACTAGTAATTTTTGGGGCCCTTTATAGCTTACTGTGTGATGTGAGCCAAGGCTCTGTGTTGAAGACCGTATTGTGACCTATAATGGTTTTCTTTTATAAATTTTGACTTGGATGGAGAGTTCTCTCATTGGCACTCATACCACATCTTCTTATATCTAAGTATGTTTGGTGTCAATTCAACCTGTCTTCCAATTTATACATTTTCAAAGGAAAAATTTGTCGTCACAAAGCAAATCTCTTAACATCACAATGTCCTATGATATGTTTTCCCTTGAGTTACTCCCTCAGGTCAACAGGGGCAGTTCAGTCATAAAACTGAAATTACAAAGTTCTTTACACCAATTTCCAGTGTCTGGATTTTATTCTGGCTGACTTAGTTTTCCATGGACTGACCTTTTGACATTTCCAATTGAATCATTTCAAGTCTGTTACTAAAATATTTTCTTTTTTGACACTATATATATGTCTAAAAATTACAGGAAAACTTAATTTCATTTTATAATCATTAATGGAGGATACACTAACCTTCTTTTAGGGGTCCCTTAGTCCAAATAATTATGACATTTTGAAAGGCTATTTTATTTTTTTTTCTGTGACGCCATCCTACAACGTCGTAGGAAGGCATCACAGAAAAATATAATTCAAGACGTCATAATTATTTGGACTAGGGCAGTAGGGGTCCCTATACTTTAGGGTTAGGTTAAGTAATGTTTTAGGTTAGGGTTAGGTTTTAGAGTTAGGATTAGTGTTATGTATGGGTTAGAGTGAAGTTTATGGCAAAGGATCGTTTAGTGTAGGTCTAAATAAGTAAGGACACCTAAGGCTAAGAACTAAAGAAGGCAAATAAACTATATAGTCTATAATAAAAATAATGACGGTTTTGTTTTGTCAGACCCTCATTCCCTAGAAGTTTGATGGTCATATATGAAGCGATACCTTTTCTGAAAGCTCTTGTTTCTTGGAAACTTTACTTGTTTTTGTTGACATTTTACTGATCAGTTACAAATTTTTCCCTGCTACTCGGTGGCCATTTTTTGTAAACATTCCTTTAGACTGGTCCCATCCAATTTTGACATATTTTCAATTTATAACGCACACTGAATTTTAAGGAAGGGACCCAGTTTTCAACACTGAAAAAGTCCGAGTTGTCTGGGTAGAAATCTGATTAAATACCGATTTCAAACAAATATGATAACAAACACAAGATTTCCCCCAAAAAGTTTTTGCTAGACATTTTAATGACGATTTCAGTTATTTGTAGATCTTGTCCTGGTGATCTTTGTTACTATTTAAAATCTATCTGTTAAATGGGCATGAGCTGTCAAATTCATGTTCACCGATTTGATTCAAATTCTCATATTTGATTTATAACACATTAAAACGTATATCCAAATTACAATAAGTCTGAAAACAATTAACAATGCATGGAATCGATAATATATATCAGCATTTCGTGTGCATTTTAGTCGAGACGCCAACTTATTAACCATCGAGATGACCTCCGAAGACTGCCGACGGTCACATAACCCGATACAAACATAATCATCAATATAAATAGATAGCAACCTCGTGCAATTGGACTTTTCTAGGTCTGTTATAGGTTAAAAAAATAAGTTAGTCATGTTTTTACCTGTACAAGAATGATTTTTTGTGGATCGAATCACTCAACGAAATGGTTCACATTTGTTTCACTTTCAATGTTGACATTCTATTCCTTTTAATGGCTGAACACGACTAATAAATGCGTAACCAATCTCTAGCTAATTGGTTAAATTGAAGGTCACATGAATACGGATTCAATGAGGTCGAATTATTCACTTGCAAGTGAATAACGCATTAGCGATGTTTCTTTGCTTATTTTGACAATATTGAACTAAACTGGCTGCTAAAAGCGAATTTTTATCTCCCTATTTCACTCTCATTAATGATTGAACAAAAAAAAATCATATTTTATTTTTTTTAAATCTCGTAGCTAATGCCACTCGAAAGTCTTCAAGATAATAGACAAAAAAGTGGTAAAAAATCATCATTTAAGGACAAGAACCCCAATAAGGACATGTGTCAGTCACCATGTTGAATTAATGTAAATCTTGTCTTACTAATATTTGCTTTTCTAAGTTTTTTTCAGATATAATTTTCAAGATAATAGACCTAATTTTGTAAAAATTGTTAAGATATGTCATTTAAGGGAAATCACTCCTTTAAGAAGTTGTGACAGTTTTGTTTTTTGTAGACAGTAGGTAAATATCAACATTCTGAACATTACTGCCCCTGTCAGGTTTTCTCTTTCTATAAAAGGTTTTCATGATAAAAGACAAATATTCATTTACCCCTATGTTAGTGGGCGGTATCATCAACATATTTTTAAACTAGATAGAACAAAGGATGAGTTAGGCCATGTTTGGTGACAGTGGTTTCAGATGAAAATATTTTTGTAAAATTTAATGAACAATTGCCCTTTTGTGTGGGAAATTCATTTTGATATCAATGAGCAGCTTGTAATGAATTAAATCAACTTCTTCCACAAGCATAAAATACTATTGAATGAATGAATGAATGAATGAATGAATGAATGGATGAATACTTTATTTGCAAGAAGCATATACATGCTATGGCAAACGAAAAAATATATACAATATATGACAAACAAAAGACAGCAGAGAACAGTAGTTACAAAGTATACAATAATATTATGACAATATATGTGATCTAATTTTCCAAGCTGCATTTAAATAATTGCATAGTTTTACTGTAAGAGATTTACAATGAGCTTGTAATAAATCATCTAACTTGTACCGATTTGGCCAAGAATAATAAAATTTAGGTAAAAATTCTAATCGCACAGGTCTATATGATGGACATGATAAAACAAAATGATATTTGTCCTCTAAAACATTCATATTGCAACATATACAAATTCTATTTTCTCTTTGAGTATTTAGATAACGACCACCTTCAACATTTAATTTAAGTGTGTTGCTACGCAATTTAGTTAATATGGATACATTACAATGGAAATCTAGGTATTTTCAATACCAAATACTAGTTTATATCGTTTATAAATACATAATTTGTTACACTCTTCTAAAGCTGTATTCCAGCTTTGTAAAAAATGATCTTTAATACGTGTTTTAACACAATCAAATGATAATTTACTAGTATCTTGTGAAATCCATACATCATTAAATCCAAGGTTACATAACAAATTTTTGACGTTAGACGCCCAATTAATTTTACCATTATTTGCATCTTCGTACAAAAGTTTATAAACTTCATATACAATATGAGGTTTATTAGTTACAATATGAATCTAATATTTCAGGATTTTAAATTTTCTCAAAATATGCAATGGCAAATGCCCAAGTTCACCATATAAAAAATTTGTAGGGACTTTCTTGCCAAGTTTCAAACAAACAAATCTACAAAATCTATTATGTATAAGCTCTATATCACCAGCGCGATGAAAACCCCATATTTCAGCCCCATAACTTAAAACGGATCCAACCATACTATCGAATAGAAAAATCTGTTGTTCAGTAGTCAGATACAATTGTTTCAAAGAATTTATTAGTGAAGACAACGCTCTTGATCCTTGCTGAGATAAACGCTTTTGAGTTTGCAAACATTTTCCATTATAGTGGAGCAACACACCGAGGTATACATAGGAGTTCACAATTTCTAATTCTCTGTCATTTTAATAAAAACGGTTTACCACAGGCATCCATCCATTTCGAAAAACAACAACCTTTGTCTTCTCCGTGTTCACTTCTATGTTCCATTTATTACAATATAATAGTAATTTATCAAGTAAATGCTGCAACACATTCGGTGATTTTCCAAAAAGTACAGTATCATCAGCAAATAAGATCAAATATATTAAAAATCCACTTAAAGACACACTGTTATTATCTGATTCAACGGAAATATCTTGAATAATGTCGTTAATGAAAAACAAAAACAGCAAAGGAGATAGAGGTTCCCCTTGTTTAACACCAAGAAAATTATCAAACGCATCTGACAGCACTCCTCCGGATCGTACACGAAGACGCATTGATGAATATAAAGTTTTAACAATAGATACAAATTTATTACTTATGCCATTATTTAGCAGTTTGTATATTAAAATTCTTCTGTGTAGCTTATCAAAAGCCTTGCGAAAGTCCACAAAGGCACAAAACAGCTGAAGTTTGTGTACTAATACATGTGTTATAATTCCATGCAATGTGAAAATGGCATCTACAGTTGAACGACCAGGACGAAATCCAAACTGATTGTCTATTATTTTCTGTTCGTCCTCCGACCATGTAAGCAATCGTTCCGTTAATATGCTAGTAAAAATCTTAGAAAGAATGATTACTAATACTATTGGCCTGAAGTTGTTTGGGTCCGACAAATCACCGCTTTTGGGTACAGGGATAACTATACATTCGGTCCAATTATCTGGATATATTCCATTGTCATACATAGAGTTGAAAAGAATTTTAAAAATAGGCGCAAAGAAAAGAGGATTTGCAGCTATCATTTCACCAATTATATCGTCAATTCCCGAAATTTTGCCTGTTTTAAGTTTCTGTATAGCTTTTTTAATTTCATCTTCTGTAATTTCGGAATCAAGAATATCAATACTTATGTCACCAAAGTCGGTATTGTTTAATAAATGTAAAACTTCATCACAAAGTTCTGGAGGGTTCGATCCCAAAATCTTTTCAAAATAGTTCAACATTTCATCATTTTCAACTAAACATTTTGATCTGTTTTTCGGTTTTACAGCGGACCAAAACTTTCTAGGTTCCCTTTTTGCAATATTACAAAGTTCAAGGCCTTTTCTTTTTTTGTAGTTAAACTATGCATTACGTTTAGCCTTATTAAATTTGTTTCTAGTCGTAACATATGAATGTCTATTTGTGTCTGTCGGATGACGCATATAAAAATTTCTCGCAGTGTGAAATTCTATTCGAGCGTTTGAACATTTCTCGTTAAACCATTCGTTATTTGGTCGTTTAACATATATATCGTCTCGAATTAAAATGGTGTGTCCAAAAACTTTCGTAGATAGTTCGGGTTATCTCCTTCACTGCGTTATTAATATCAATTTCGGAAGTTACATTATTCACCAAACTCAATAGGTTGATTAGGTCAATATTATTATTTCTCATTAGCTGTCAAATCCATGAGGGTCTGGATAGGGTTTACAGAATAGAGAATAATTAACAAAATTTGCAGAATAAAGGGCAAAAAATTTAAAGAATAGAGAAAAATAGGCCAAAAAATAAAGAATAGAGAATACTGGGGTGCTAAAATATAAAGAAAAGAGAACAATGAGCAAAGTTTACAAAGAATAGAGAGCATGAGGCTGTCAGAGTGACAGCAAACCGGATTTTCCTGCATGAAAATGATATTTGCAAATCTGGACCCCCAAACAGGATCAAGTAAAACAAATAAATGAATTTTTGTAGGGTTCAGAAATGGAAAGGCCAAAATCAATCTAAGTATCACTTTTCCCTACATAAAGGTCTACAAGTCAACAACAATAAAAGCTAAAATCCTGAAAATCAAACTTGACCTTCATTTAGTCTCAGGAAACAACATATCTAAATTTGAAAAGATTTCGTCAAAACGTTTTCAAGTTATTGCACGGACAACGCGGGTTCAGAAATGGAAAGGCCAAAATCAATCTAAGTATCACTTTTCCCTACTTAAAGGTCTGCAACTCAACAACGATAAAAGTTAAAACCGTAACCAAAGAGCATGATTGCTCTGAGGAATACGATCGCCATTGTTAACATTGATATTAGTATTATTCTCAAAAAATAATTGAACTGCACATGTATTCTCTATTTGATTCAATCTGAATATAGTTTTTCAGCTTTAAAAAATAGCCAATCTCTGATACAAGTTTATACATGAACAAAGTAATTGTGTTTTAATTTTGCTCTACAGTTGCTTGATTCTTGGAAATTCAAACCCACTCATTTTAAAGATATTACTTCTGAATGTTATCAATCCCACATACTCAGTGTCAAAAATATACATTTTTAAGCACACAAAAAATCAATCTGTTCTTTCTTTGGGTTTAGGATTCATATGGCCAAAAATGTTAAAATCCTAGACGTCTTCC